TTTACCGAACTTGAAGGTTCTTAACCGAACTTTCTGCCAGAGCGCCTCCGAATGCTTTGACAAAAGCGATCAAACCATCAAGATCCAAAGTTTTGGGGCAGGCATGTCCGAAGCGAGGACTGGATTATAAAACTTCGTGCAATAGATTACGTGTTGCGAGGAGAAACCGTCAGTACCATGCTTCTGCGACGCGCAGAAGCATAGAATTGAGGAAGTTGACCTGCGAGTACAGAAAATGTGCTTGGAAAACACGACATCGCCGCCGGGTTCGCACTTGAAATGAATTAATCGAAACGATATTCAAATCTAATATTAGGCATGAACAGTATCTTTTTTTTTCATTTATGCCATAGAAATGGAGTAATTCAAATACTGTAGTAACCGCAAACGGTGGGCCAAAGCTTTCCCGCCCGATGGATGAAATGCACTCACTTGAGATTAATGCTACCATGCACGCAAAAAGCAACGCTTCGTCATTTTGGTCATGGAAACGGTAAAATCACCATCCCAGAAATGTGAGGCTTAAGAGTAGTTTCTGTCGATGAATAACTAAATCGTGCTCGGCGGTCTTCAGGGCCCAGGCACGGAGAAAGTAAGCAGACGACACCCGTGACGTCAAGCGTGCCCGTCGACCAGGTGAGAGTCGATGACCCCACCACGTCAGAGTTCAAAGTGGGTCCATTGTGATCGCCACCCCCTTCGTGTTGGTGGAGAAGTCTCAGTCGAGCGTTTGTAGCGTGAGGTCGTGTCACTCTCTGGGTCCGTCAACACGGTTGTGAGTTAGACACATTCCATGGGACAGAAGGTTTCGCTTACCTTGGTTTCACTTGCCTCAAAGGTGAAGTAAGAGATTCACTGAACTTGAGCTGTAGTGAAGTTTCTCATCGGTTATCCTTATGAGCGTAACTTTCGTCCACGGTGTATTCCAAGAGCTAAGGCGTCTATAATTTCTTGAGTACTGCTATAGGAGGCTGTGATTTGTAGGTCTACTTGGATCATTGTAGTGCAAAACAATGGGGTGGGATTAAGTGGGGTTAAGTTGGATGCAACCAGTGAGGAAGAAGTATCAGAAAAAGAAGTAGGTCGCCTTTGTGCCTGGAGGGCCTGCCCGAGGGAGCCGTAGTGCATGTATCGGGAAAATCCAGTTTCCCCTTCGGCCTCGCGTCGCGACTAAAGTGTAAAGGGAAAGAGTTATTTGACCTTAAAGGGAACCGAGGGGCATGGAAGGGTTGTCAAAGATCCTTGAAATAACTACTACTCGGTTATTTGCCGTCGCCAGTGCCGCAGTGTATATTTGTAGATGACTTCGACATTGAAAAGGAATTACTTATTTCTCTTGAGAAAGCTAAAGCCTGGAGGAGGTACGCGAAAGGGGAAATTCCAATCCAGCATCCCTGATAATTTGATCCTGTCTATATGCATGAAGTCTTTCATCTTTTCCTTTACCTTGGTGATAAACAATGTGGTTAAGGATTAACCTTTCCTGTCGTATGCTGTCCGAAGGTGGGCTTTCCCCAGCACATGTACTACTATTCGTTTCGACTATAGCGTCCACCGAGAGAACGTATTCCGCGAATCTGCGATTGTTATCTTTAGTTCTCCAGACATCAGGATTCTCGAGATATCCGGGTTCGACTGTAGGGCACCATTTCCAGAATGAGGCCACGAATGTGGGTCGACTAAACCCTAGATAAGCCCAAGGATCGACCCGGTAGCCCGGAGGCACTTTTCGCGGGAGTCATTCCAAGCCAAACGGTCGTGATGGTCGTGGCCGACTGGATTCAGTCACAAAGAGCGGCGCAGGTTCGTACACGCGAAAAACACAAATATCAATAATGCCTCTTTTTCTGACGCCAGAGCCAAGATATGCACCCTGAAACATTAAGCCCTGGTGACGAGTGGTGCTTCCCCCAAAGTTTGTAGTTTGGGACGGGCTTCACCTAGAACGTCTATCAGTAACATCTTTGAAGGAGCTCCCGTAAAGGTACGGGAAGTCGAAATGAAGGGGGAAAGCGAAGTTTGACCATCCATTTACTCTAATACGCATGTCAGGTCTGAGGCACGTGTAATCCTCATTCATTAATGAGGACTCATACTCATTAAATAGGTATTATCAGAGAAAGTTGTGCTATATGGTTAAGTATTTCAATAAGAAAATATAACGAATTCGTCATGTCCAGCCACATTTTGATTGTGACATTTTAGTGATTGAGAATATATATTTTTGCTCGAAGTCTCATCACTCATCCATGCTTCGTTTGACCAGAACGATTTTTCTTAGAAAGTATTTCTCCAAAACGGTTACCCGTTCGTGCTCTTATTCCTGTTTTGTGTGAGCATCATTTGGTAAGTGCTTTGTATGATAGAACCATATAGGGCTTTTTCACACACGTCACAAGATGACGTTTAACCAGGGGCGGAGGGCACATCCGCCATACTGGAGTACAGGGGAGCGGGAGTTTCGATTGATAGGCCCGTGTTGGGTGTAGCCTCATCAAGTCTGCGTCGTGATTACCAGTTTTCCCGCCTATTTTGAGACCCTGAAAGGCACGGCAAAAGACCGTTATCTGAAGATGATGTGCGAAGACTGATCCTTAAGCCCCTGTGATGGTCTGGTGGCCTAAAATGCGATGCGTTCCATTTCTCCCAATAGCGCCAGCTAGTCAGTCGGAATTCTTAAAGCAATTTCCTTGACTGTGCAATGTCATCGTGTCGTATCTTTTCGACGGAAAGTCATAGCGTTAAAGGGTTGTTTCGAAAAGAAGGCCTATGAAGAAAGAGACTCCACAGAACTGAGTCCACGATTTCACAGGAAATTCGAACTACAGTATTTACTTCTCTCTCCCATACTTACGCTTAGAGCATCACGCGCCATCAAATTCATGTCTTACCTTCTCACCTGAGGCCTAACGACTCGACCCAATCTACAGTAGAATCCTCTAAGGAGGACACCTGCTTTTGGCTACCTTCCTAATCATGGAGTTAGGTCTAGGCCTGTACCACACAACCAATTTGTGAAACAGCGTACATCGTCTTTTCTGCAGGTCTGTCACTCAAAGAATCAGGGAACTACCTTTGCAAGTCTGGGTATTTGCTCAGACCTGGCTAGACACAAGAAATTCACCATAGTTGAGCAAAATATCACCGTCGTTCATGCCAAACGTAGTCTGCCTGTACTCCAGCATGGCGCGGAGGGTTCCCGGTCAATTCCCCGAATGGTTATTTCCCCGTTTGGGATTTCCCCAAAGGAAATGGATTTGTTCCCATTTAAGTTTCCTGTCTCGCACATCATCCATGGGGGAATGAGGGGGGGGATGCGGCCAGCCCCCAACCGAGTCAGAACCAAAGGGAGGGTGCTCTTGGCAAACTGAAGGAAAGGGGAAAGTCGCAAATCTTCTCTAATCCTGGAGGGGAGGAAATCATTAAATTCTTCGCCTCCCACCTGTTCCTTTAGGGAACATGACTGCCGATACAATGCTAGTCAGATCATTGATAAAGATTCTCACGGGAAAGTGAAAAAGATGAAAAAGGCGACAGAAACGGTTGGAAGATAATCCTCTCGACTGCCAGAGATGAGACGATCGACAAGATGTCTATCAAAATCTAAAACGGGACTATATATGGAGAAGTTGGGTGGCTTAGGAATCAGATCATTAAGTGGTCAGTTCTTGGACAGTGTGAGAGTTCGTGTATTCATGTAGTTCGTGAAGAGCGAAAAGGGCAAGAATCTTCTTGTTCTTGAGGGCTATCTGCTCACGCAGAACAAGATGAGCAAGGGCGGACGAAGAACGTATTGGGAGTGCCTCTATAGAAGATACAAAGGAAACTGCAATTTCAGAGCTACAACTGAAGGAGAGCAGGTTGTCAGCAGGCGAGGCCAACATCATCATGCTCCAGAACCTGGAAAATTACAAGCCCGCAAGGTGATCGCAAACATCGTGAATGATTTACCTCTTCAGAGACAAACAAGGGCGTGAACTATAAATCGAACCCTAGACATGAAGGAGATGGATACGGTCGATAGCCCTCCTTCCGCGACGGTGAGATCGGGGAACTGACCGTTCGGGGAAATAACCATTCGGGGAATTGACCGGACACCTGCGCGGAGGCAGTGTCTCCCGATCTGTGACATCATGTGAAAAAGCCCTATTCTATTGGCACCGAACTCTATGAAATATACCGACGGTGCCCCAGTTTATGGGTCGGTCACCACGAAAATTTTGCTGACCTGTCAACGGAAAAGAGCGTATCCCGAAGAGGCTCTCGGGGAAATTCCGATGTGGGTCGCGAGCTCGTCCACCTGGGTTCGGAGGTGTCCTGGAGGTCATGACCTCGTGCTTCTCGCCCCTTGGTCTCGGTGGTGTCGAGGTCTTCCACCTTCCATACCTGGCGTCCTCATAGCTTGAGACAGAGATGAAAAGCAGAGAGCGCTTTATCTACTGTACAGTTGTTTGGTAGGGCGAGTGATAGAAATTCCAGCCTCCTTAAGTTAAAATCGATCCCCTCGCATACGTTTCGAAATTGCTACTTTTGGGGTCTACACCATTCGAGAGGAAAATGAACGTTCATTTTCGTTTTGATTCCAGACATTGGTGTAATTTGGTAGAGAGGCAGATTGGATTTCTTATGATCAATTAAAAAGTTATATTGGCGATGGCCACCATGGTAAGATCAGATTTTGTCTCATTTACCCTACTTGCAGTGATAGGCCAAAAACTAGCATACTCTGAAATTTTACCTGCTGTTGTAAGACGCAAACGGTCAGAGAAAGAGGGAGAGTGGAATGCATGAGTTCTAATTAGGTTAAGACAGGGTGTACGACATACGGCCCGGCGTGACCTCTGGGTTAGAATGCTGATAGATGAACTGCACACGAGAAATGATGCATTGTATGAGACTCAGGCCTTCTGGCTTCCGGCTTCCATAAAGTATTAGATTACAATCTATGAATAAGAGATTTCTGGAAAGGACTCTGCTGAAGCGTCACGAGATGGCTCGTTAGTCTTCCTAGACCATCGCTGCCGATCTCGCCAAGTTCTTCGTGCACAGGCTTCGGGCGAAAGCCCCTCGAATAGATAAGAGATCGGCAGAAAGATGGAACCGTACGGAGACGACGTGCTATGGATCGTGGTCGTGGGATTCCTCATGGCATTTCTGGTAGCGTTTACGATCGGAGCCAACGATGTGGCCAATTCCTTCGGGACCTCCGTCGGATCCAAGGTCCTTACCCTCAAAACGGCCTGCATTCTTGGTATCTTCTTCGAAACCGCGGGATCCATCCTACTCGGTAATTTCAACCTCTCATGCTTTTAACGTGCATGAAAATATGTTGGCACGCGTCTCGGTGTCGTGAACTTTTGGATATGTATATTTTTTCAGGTTCCGAGGTGACAGAGGCGATAGGGACGGAGATCTTCAACGTGGACGCCTATAACGGAACCGAGAAGCAGATCATGCTTGGAGCTCTGGCAACTTTAGGCAAGCAAAGTCTTTTCCATATGGAGCTCGCCCACGTTTGATTCTGAATTGACGATCACGGGGGATGTTCTATGAACAGGGGGATCGGGACTCTGGCAGTTGGTGGCGACGTATTTCCAGCTTCCGATCTCCACGACCCACGGCGTTGTGGGGGCCATCGTTGGGTTCAGCCTCGTCGCTAAAGGACCTCTGGGTGTCCAGTGGATGACCGTCGCCCGGATCGGTCAGTCCCATTTCATGCTCTTACTCGCAACTTGCTCCTTCCAATCGGAGGGTAAACGACGAAAAACTTGCGCGTCTCATTCATGGCCATCCATCGAGATCGAGAATGAAGACAAGATGGAAGTTGCGTCCTATTCGCGCTTCGTTCCAATCTGGAAAGTGAAGCGCTCGTAGACTCGCTTGCAGACTGCACTTGTCATTCGAACACGCCACTAAGCTTTTCAAGACTGAGAAGCGTGTCTGCATGACAAGTATAGGACCCACTCGGGTACTCCCATCAACATGAAACATGAGTTTTTTTTTCCCGTTCATTCCAGGTTTCATGATATAATTGTCATGATACAATTGTTAGAACTAGATCTCCGAACAAAAAAAGCAAGTCTATGGTGAACTGGACCGTATGAATTCAGAGCCTAAGGTTTATCACGAGCAAACAAGAAATTGTTTTCTGGGAAGGCTGCTTAACTCGCACGACACCTTCAATGAATATGGTGGATGATATGTCAAGGTTACATAATTGCACGAAATCGTGGGTGAAATGGGCCCTCGGTTACACTGGTGCATACCTTTTACAGCTGCGTCCTGGGTGTTGAGCCCGGTGGTGTCGGGTGCCATTTCGGCCCTCTTCTTCCTGGGAGTGAGGACTTTCATCCTCGAGAACGCCCATCCGGTGAAGAAGGTTCTCATCTTCCTTCCCATCATCTATGCCGTCGTGACTGTGGTTAACGTCGTCTCTGTCTTCACCGACTCACCCCCCTGTGTGTGCTTCGTCTTCTGTACGGTCTGCTTCCGTAGACCGACCGATTAACCAAGGCGAGAATTTCTTCTCTCCTGTCTGCAGTTCTGTACCTGGACAAGGTACCTTGGTGGGGAGTTTCCTTGTCCAGTCTCCTCATATCGATCCTCGTCGGAGTCTACGTTCGATTCTTTCTCATTCCTCACGTCACCCGCAAACTCACAGGTATGTGTCGCATGTAGATGTTTGAAACATCATATCCAAGCATTCCATTTTTGCCGACGTCCATCGTGGTGGAAGTGAATGAGGCAATATATCGAATTTCGGAGTCGTAAGGCCAAAAGTGGCAGGTATGAATTCCTCCTACATCTTTCATTTTAAATGTTAAATGGATTTTTTTTCGGAAACGCTCGCTTGCTGACCTCATATCTTAGAGACCTGGAATTCTAACGCCGTCACGATTTCACTTCTGCAAAGGACAAAGGTCTGGTAAAAGTGAACCCTTGTAAATTGTTTTCCGCACTTAATAATTACTATAATAATAAAGAAGCTTCAACAGGGCCCCTGTTGAGAAAATTATCCACGAACTATGATTAGCTTACTTGAAATTTTATATTTTAAATCTATTTCATCGAAAAAATCTGTTCCGTAATATCATGCATTTATGTAGTCAAGGGCTTCCTGTAAAGCCAAAGAAAATCCCATGTAATTCGCATGAAAGCTAAAAAAAAAGTAATATATATATATATTACTTTTTATTTTTATTTACTATTATATATATATATAAAATAAATCCTTCCACGGCACCTGCCGGTATTGGAGATATGAGGGGGGATGAACCACATCCCAGACCTCATACTCGTCTTAATTCTGAAGGACACGGCGAAGGATGCTGGCCGTGCCCAAGATTGCTGTACGCTGGAGAATATCCAGTGATATTTCACACTCCAGCTTCTTGACATGTCCTTTGAGGTCTTTCAGGACGACGCCAGTTGTGCCTATGATGATCGGAA